CTCATTTCAAAAGCAAACTGTTTTCGTTTACCATGAAATGTAAACCTTGTATACACACGCACAAAAAACAAAAAAAAAAAAAAAACCCAAAAAAAAATTAATTAACCATAAAGTTAGAAAGCTCTGATTATCTGATATCTTAATTATTAGATAACACTCTGATACTTTTCTTGTATTCAGCTTTGCTGTATTTAACTGCTTTGTCTCTTATCTAATGGGAGAATTCACTATATATTATATATGTATATATATGTATGTATGTCTATATATGTATGTCTTTTCAATTAGAACTTTTCAAACGATTTTCATGGCGTGCACCGTAAATTTCTCGTGATTTATGTCTTGATGATTAAAGTGCTTGAATTTTACTTTCCCATGGCTTTCATAGTTCACTATTCAGTTGGACATATATTCCAAAAGAATTTCCAAAAATTGGTAAAGAAGAGAATATTGGCCTCTTTTTTGCTTTTAATACATTTTTTGATTTACTTATAAATTGATAAGTTTAATTAATGCATATAAACCATTATAATGACTGTATATAATCATTAAAATGTAAATGAGGTTGCTTAGCTGATAATACATGCTGATTAAAAATTAAATTTTTAACACTATAGACAGGTTGTTAAAATATTCATATATATTAATATTATATATATTATTAGATATATATATAATTTATTTCCTAAACAGTATAGATTAATTGATTATATTATCTCCTAAGTTTAATTAAAGTAGAATCCATACTGGTAAGTTATATTTTGAAAGATGCTTTGAAGTAATTTGAAAGCAAAATTTTAATTATGTTTTAACGGGGACTGGAGTTAAATCATCACGAACTGGAGTTAAATCATCATTTTGGCCTGACTAGAATTGCCGGTTTGGCTTTAACTTATAACTCGAGTAAAGACGAAACACTTTCATATTTACGTATTTTTATCAATTATTGTTCATTGAACGGGAGTTGGTTTGTTCCCCTTGAAAAGTCAACTAATTTCCGATCAATGACAATGAATACATGTTTTAATTTTTCCTTTTACAATTGAAATTAATATTCTTCGTGATGATTAACTCCAGTCCCCGTTAAAACATTATTAACATTTTGCTTTCAAATTACTTCAAACATCTTTCAAATATAACTTACCAGTATGGATTCTACTTTAATTAAACTTAGGAGATATAATCAATTAATCAATACTGTTTAGGAAATAAATTATTTAACTAACTTTGCAGCAATTGCGCAAGTAATAATAACTTGTATTCGCACTAAATGGATTTAAGTTCATACAACATTATATATATATACATTTACTTGGCAATCTAGAACTATTTTTCGAATTTCCAAAATTGCAGGCGCACAGATATTCCAGGCCCACAAATATGCCATTCTCGGGACGAAAATATAGAAGATTAAAATATTAAAAGAGCAGATGCATACGAAATCTTAATTTATAATACCTGTCCATTTAAGAATTTCATTAATATTTATTATATTTGGTTAACGACATATTTTTGTTTTTCTGGCACATATGTAACAGTTCGTCGAAGAAGATATAATATGCCGCATTGTTAGTTCAATTTCTATGCTACAAGTAGTCTTATTACATCGTATTCAACTGCACCTTGTGCTTTGCTAAAAGTAAAATTATATGCCAAACCTGACTTGATATGATATTTTTATTTTGAATTCATTAAATCAAAACTTCCTTTTCGGGAAAAAACTAGTTTTTATATTTTTAGCTATGTGTAATGGTATATAGTGATGCTGAAACTCAGAATAATGTTATATTACAGTGGTCAACTGTAAAGAACAATGTAAAGAACTGATGCTCATGAGACAAATTGGAAACAGGAAAGTTCTGTTGTTTACATCGAAGAACTGAAACGACGAACGAAGAAAATATAGCTTTAAATTAGTTATATTACGATCGAGAACTGAGAATTGTAGGGCCATTTCGTTTGATTGTTTGTTCTGGAGGTAAATAACCAGTCCTGAATTAGGAGATATAAAATAGGTGAATTATTCAATCCATGGTACTAAGCTTAAGAGGGCGCCAAATATTTTTAAAAAATTACTTTAGATAAGCTAGATACATCTTCTGGCCACGTCACAAAGTTGAACAAACGGGCTATTGTGATGCACAATCATGCATCAAAACAGTTCGTTTCCGTTACCTGTATACTACTTACATGATATGTGATATTTTGAAGCAATTTAATTGAGAATTACTGAAATATTCTTCTACAGCTCTGTCTTAATTTATTGACGGCGTAATGTTTAAATGAAAATTCTCCATTTGGTATCACGGATTTGCCTCTTTTGATGAAACATTTACATGCCTGGAATTCACCTTGATTCAGACGATCAGTTTATGAGAGACTCGGAATTGAGTCTACATAGCAAGGAGCTACACAGCAAAGAGAGATTATTAAAACTGCTTAAGAAACTTTTTTTTTAATCTTATGGTTTGAATCAAATGCCCTACAATGTTTAACAAATTTAGTTATCATAATAATTGTTGATCTTACATAATTAATCAAATTTATTAGATTTAATAGCTTAAAGAAATGCTGCCCAGAATTATCTTTTTGTTTGCCCCAATATTTCTCATTTCAAAAGCAAACTGTTTTCTTTTACCATGAAATGTAAACCTTGTATACACACGCCAAAAAAAAAAAAAAAAAAAAAAAAAAAAAAAAAGAGTCCTATATTTTCTGTTTTATTGGGCCGATTGACGAAATTTATCTTGCGTTTTTCATGTCTCGAAAGCGCGACTTTGCGCCAAGAACAATTAATACATTTGGCAAAATTCGTAATTTATAGTAACCTATTCTCTTTTCACTTTTTTCACTGTGCACGAGAGGTCAAAAAAAAGGTTCATCGTTCATTCTTTCAGATAATTTGTAACAAAATGCGTATAGCACCTTTAAAACAAATAAAACAAATAGGCCAAATTTCAAAACGCGCTATTTAGATGTAAATTCGCGTATATCTTGGGAAAATTTGAATAAAAAACTCTTTATTTTTTGCAGTTATGCCTAGAAATACATCTACTTATAGGTAATGGTACCAATTTTACAACTTATGATTCAAAAATATTTTTAAAAAATTTATAAAAATTACTAAAAAATAAAAAGTTAAAAAATAAATAGAAAATATCTGCGAATTTTATTTGGACATTACCAAAATTTCGACTTGTGAAAGAAGGAATCATGTAAGTTCAATAAAAAGGAGTTATTTATAAATATAATACCAAATTCAATTAAAACCGAGGAGCTAATATTTTGAGAGCTAATTTTTTAAAAACTACTTGAGTGATTTTTATCAAATTGTCACTGACTTTTGTGGCAAAATACCTATATTTGAAAAATGCTGAAAATGAATTAAATATGTATCGTAAATCGCGTTTTCGAGAAATGGAAAACGCAAGATAGTTTCGTCAATCGGCCCAGTGAAACGAGATACATAGAACTATCCTTCCCCCCCTTTTTTCCCCTGTGCAGAGAGTACAAGAGACTAATTTCGTTCGGTATTCAAGATACCGCAAGTAGAATAATTTTTAATAAACTCAATTTTCCATTTTTATAGTTTTCTGCAATTTCAAATATTTTTAACCTTTTTCTTTTTCCTTACACATAACCGTTTGCGCAATGACGTCTCTTTCCAAAGGAGTTAGTCCATTCCCAAGAAGTAAGTAATAACATTTCCAAAGCTAAAATTCTTTAACTATTTCTTGAGCTTTCTGCCTTAAATTATACTCACTATTTGCAAATTTGCTTTCGCTGGCGTACTGGTACTCTGCATCAATTTTTCTTTAACATCGGAATAAGAACTTTCTTTTCGTCGCTTGTTATTTTGGGTTAATTTCTTTTGCAGTTAATTCAGTGAAGTTATATCATTTACACTCTTCAAGATAACTAGAATTACAATCTTGATTCAAGATCAAATTGGTTAATTTTGAAATTGTTCTATAGCAGCAGTTTAAATTAGTAACTAGGGCTAATTAATGGCTGGTTATTGCGTCGTTCTTGAGAAAAGACGTTGATGACTAAATAAACAAAAAGTCATTGTTAATGAATGATGGATTGATCCTCTTTGCTCGCTGTATAGATTTCTCGAAACGGTTCCCAATTTTGTGAATATGTTCCATGAACATGTAAATCTTCTAACAAGTATCTCATTTTTATTTCCGAGGTTATTCACTTATGGTGCTTTGCTGGAAATGGTGATACTTTTATTTGACGCGTTAAAAATATATATTATTTGCTACTGCATTGATTGTGGCTGACAAGCTAAAAATACTCAGGGAAAGACAGCAATTGTATGTAATTCAAAATAATTGAAATGATTAATTTTTCTGTTTGTGAAAATTATTTCACTTTTTGGCAGTATCTAAGAAATACTTTCTACATCTATCATTTTTCCATGAATATGTAGATCTTATAACAAGTATTTATATAATAAAATACTATGTAATTTTTCCATTCTTTAAGTATTTTTTATAAATTGTGTTTGCTCGCTTACTTAAATAATTAAAATTGAATTATATGGTTAAAATTAACTTTATTTACGCTGCATTTTGTTAATTTTAATGCAAAATAAAAACTGAGTATGCTTTAAAATGTATTTATAAATAGCTATTTTTTTCATATTTTCAATAATTTTTAGTTTTCTCGAATATTTTCCTGTATTTACTCTGCGAACATTAGTATAATTTTTGTCTTTCCCCACACAAGCATTTCATTAACAAGAGATTTTGAATCAACATCCTGATTATTATTTTTTTTTTCGTTTAAGGAAACAAAATAAATTAACGAATGCTTAGAGAGAGTTGTATATTTATTTGGCATAGATAATACAAAATACTTTACCCAACAAACATAGTTCGTTTATTTTAAGTACAATTTAAATATTAGTTTTTTTTTTAATGCAACACAGAATGAAATAAATTTACAGTTCTTTTCAAGTCAAAAATACTTTGCAAAGCTTAGAAATTTGCTTTATTTTAATATCCTCAATCCAATTGTCCTACAAGAAAAGAGAGAAATAACCTGAATATCTTTTATCGATAATCGTCACTGGCTTTGTCGAACTTCACTTTCGGAACATAGCAAACGCAGCATGATGGGAAAAGAAATTTGGACAGAAAGGGACCTTTGTGAGGATTATAGGGATCGATTGCTAAAAGGGTCTGAGTATTGTATCTTTGTTGACAGGTTGCCTGATAACATGGTGGAACGAAGTTGCAGTAGGAATTGTCGTACCTGAAAGAAAATACAGCTCTAATATATAAAATGTAAAATACCTATTTTCAAAGATTTGATGTTGCAACTTATGAAAACTATAAAAATAAACTATTCCATATAAAACTACATAGTTTAGTGAGCTGCTGAAAAACATTTATGAACATTAGTCATTTAAACGTGTAATTTTTACGGGTTACGTGTTAATTAACCAAGTTATCATCATGGATTCTTTCACTTCATACGAGTACATTTTGGTCAGCTTCCGCAGGGAATGCCAATGAGATTGAGTGTGCTCTGACAGCGTATGCTCTTGCAAAACCTTTCGCTCTCTCAAACAGAGCAAATGAAAATGGGAGACTCTGAATTTCAGATCCTCTTTCAACAAAATAGAGGATGTTCAGCTTTACGAATCATGTGCTAAAGAAATTAGATTGGATATCTTCAGGATGGTTGATTGCCTGAAATGAACCTAACCCACGGTCCGTGGAAAGTCTTAGTATTAGTTCATTTTGACTTCTTTCTGAAGGGCCTTCTCAAAAACAGGATTTATATTGAAACAATCGATGATCTTAACTACTGCAACAACAGAGTGGCACAAGGAATAATTATCGTTGCACTAGATGGTCTTGCAAAGTATGGACAGAAATTGAGTATCGGCATGATGTCTATCTTCCTGTTAAAGATATATGTTTGAAAATTATTAATTTTGCCCGAGAGCTTTTTGAGCGACTGAATTAAATAAACGCATTTTCAATTCATTTGAAAAAATAAATACTCAACAGAAATTTCATTAAATCGATTTCATTCCCGAAGCCCATGTGTAACAGGATACCTCGTTAAGTTTTCATATCTGAAGTAAATAAAAACGAATTTTCTTTTTATAGATCCTAGTTATAGACTTTTTCTTGAGACTTCTATCCAACTGTCTATTACCTTATAGTGACTTATCTACTAAAATATTAGCATATAATAGTTTATAACTTCATTATACATACTTTATGTTATTGATGATATACATAATCCAGTTGTTTCTTTATAGTTTATCCAGAAAATATATTAAAATTCCGCTTCCTGGCTAAGATTTTCTATTCCTTAAATCTTATCATACTGTACTGAAGCATTGACCTTACCCTAATTATAATTTAAACAGTTTAAAATGCTGTTTTTATTAACTACATTTCATAATTTATACCCCTAATGTGGTATCTCTCGACTGCGTTCAGAGCAGCCATTTTATAGTTTTTATTGTTATAATCATTTACAAACCACACACACGAACACGCCTGACATAACCTATCATTGATTTATCAGAAATTAATTATCTTAAAACGTAAAAATTTATATTAATGAATCGAAAAACATACCTACAAATAACTTCTGTTACAAATTGGGCATACTGTTCTGTATTAATAATGACAACCCATCTTCCATTATTGTTCTTGGCCCATCCTGGTCGTATCATGCGGGTAATAGAGTCACACACGAGAGCTCCATCAGCATTTTCTGCAATTCTAGGCAATCTTTGTTGCTTTAAATCCCGGAAAAGTTTCTCTAAAGGCCATTTCATATACTTGATCACTTGGCTAACAACATCTCTATAAAAAGTAATAAAGTTCTTATGTATTATACTGAATGAATTCTTGCCCATACTATTACAAAACCCGAAAAGTAATATTGCTCCATGCTTTTATCCATTTACAAAAAAAGAAAGAGAAACAAAGAAGGAAATTAAAAATATCATCCCCGAAACAAACAGACCAGTGGATCTCACACTCAAACTGCATGCGAGCCGAATGCGTGATCGAAAGGAGGTTTTATCTTTTTCTCAACAAGAAAAAATTCTTTTAGTTAAATTTTTAGTTTTATTTAGCGACTTTTTAAAATAATATACATAAGGAGTAAAAATAATGAATGATGCAAATGGAAAAATTCGCATTTATATATATGTTTGTCTAAAATCTAAAAGTTGATATCTGTAAGAAATTTCCGTTCGTTAACTTTTGTAATTCAAATGTATTGACAGTTAAATATTAAACTTTCATGCTGACATTTATTTTAAATAATTTCAATATATTGAACTTGCCATTAAATAAATAATTTCATTAAATAAACTAAAAATAAAAGAATGATGGAAAACGTTCAAGTGCGGCAAAACTTGGTAATGAATAATAACAACCTACTTTCCCTCTTTTGTTTATTGAATTGTTCTTTGACGAAAGCAGAGACATGCATATATTTGTTTATAAGTAATCATAAATTTTTTTCATTTCTTGCAACTTTCATCCACAATACATCATGGGATTTCAGTTCTTATAAAGTTTGTAACTTTGGAGAAAAACTGCTGGACCTATCTTCTTCATGAATTATAGATGCTCTTCAATCAATCTCGTTCTTTTCTTAGGCTCGATTAATTTTCATCTGCGCAAAATACTGCTCGCATCTAAATATATTCCCAAACAAAGGAATTATTATTATTGCAAAATTTAGTATATGAGAGTAGTTGTTCTTCGACAAGTACAAAAATGGGTCAAAATCTATACCTTCAAATTTTGAAAATAATTTATATCACAGTTTAAGTTAATTAGCTCCATTTGTGGATTATCTGGAGCGTTACTCACGTTCGTTTTGAATTGTAATGAAATTAATGTAATGAAACTGTAATTAAAAATAAATCTTAATATTTTTCTTCAACTTCTTGTCATAAAGTGCTAATTAATTTACTGGACATGTATTCGTGGGCCGTGTAAAAATGCTTCTGTGGCTGAATCCAGCGGCCAGTTTGAGACCACTAACATTATTCATTTTGATGTCTTATAAGGTATTTCTCCCACTTCCCTACCGTGCCTTCGTGGTGTAACCGGTAGCACGCTGGGCCCGTATTCCAGAGGTCCGTGGTTCGATTCCCGGCGAAGGCGGTTGCATATTTTTCATCTTTTCTGCTTCCAGTTAACCTAATGACTCTTTACAGCCTATGTATTGAAAAGGAGAAAAATTAACTTTTTTTAATGAGAGAAAAATCAATACATTTATTCAGAGTCTTTCAAAAATATTGAAAAACTAATCTTCTAAAACATTGATAATAGACCAGCAGATCCAAATCTTAATTTAAATAAAGCAGCCCATTGGATTATGATAATTTAACTTCATGATATATGTTATTTATAATCCATGAACATTTTATTTTTATACACATCTGCTGCAAAGGTGTTCCTTTTTCTACTAAAAATAGTTTTGAAAACAATCCCAACAGTAATATGTAGAATTGGCTTAATTCATTCTCACCACAGAACAAAAAAATCTGATGTGTACACCACATGACTTCCTTGTACGGAATATTAAATTATACGGGTTTTTTCTTGCATTTCTTTTAAACTTATTGGATTTAATTAAATCTACTTCGCCGACAGCGCATAAACCACAATAGAATAAATGCGTTCTTTAAAATTAACTCTGGCGTTGATTAATTTGTTTAACACTCTGGCGCTAGGTTCACTTAACAGTATTATATTTCGTTCATATTATAACTCAGAATGCACAAAATTTATGTCATTTAAAGAATTATCTAGTCGTTGCTCCATGTTCTATTCAAATACTATAATAAAGTTAGAACAATGTACAAAAGAAATTAAGCAAACAAAACAAAAAAGAAACAGTTTTTCACAGATGATTGAGTATTTCTCATTCAATTCATTCAGTTCTCACTTCGCGACAAGGCAAAATACATAAAACCTCAAAATATCTGTATTAAAAATTACTAATTATTAAAAATTAAAAAATTATTAAAAAGTAAGTAAATCTTAAAACACTTATTGCCTTGAAAAAATTCCAGAAAGGATTAAGCATGATTTAATTCGCAATAATAAATGAAGGCGTTATCTTTGTTGTTGCGAAGCTACGTTTCTCTAGATTGGCAACAAATCCACTAGTCTCCTGTTTCAAATGTAAACATCAATGGCCGCCATTAAAAAAGGCTTAGCGGCAATTAAACAGCTTTAAAATTGCTGATAATTCTAAAAATATTGCACACAGATTTACTAAAGGCATAAAATCCTTAACCGGAAGATAAAAACAACATATTTCAATCATTTTTAAATAAAAAAATGTACAATTTACAAACATATAAGAGTAAAGAAACTGAGATCACTGAGCCGGGTAACAGAGTGGATATATTTATAAATATATTTATATACGTTTGGCCCGGCCGATTGCAACCAAAATACGAGGTGCACATCTACATGTTATAGTAGTCCTATATACAAAATTTCAACGTCTGAGGCTACTCGTTTTTGAGTAATGCGAGATACGTACGTACATACGTTCGTACAGACGCAAACGAAAAATTCTCTTCAGAATTCATTTTAAAGCAGTTTTATATATATATATATATATATATTTTGAGGAAAAGAGTTTTTTATTCTGTCCTTACGTACAGATATCACGCAAAAACATCGTTAAATTGCATTCGAAAGCGGTCAAAATGGATATTTTCGTTGAAATATGCTGCCTGAAACTTTTCGCGATCACAATACTTTCTTTTTACATCGTACAAGGAAGTAAAAAGGCTAGAACCACGATTAAGGAATCTTGTAACATGGCACAGTTTTCCTACGGAGAAGTTCCATATGCCAAAAATTTCCATAGTCTGAAGGTCTAACTAATTTGATACACTTATTAAATTAGAAAGTATAATTCAGTCAAGAATTCAAAATTACTTATATGTGCAATCTTTATGAAGCAAATTGTATACACATATGCAATGATGTTAAAGATGCAAATAATTAGCAGCAAGAATCAGTGCAAGGTGCATAAATTTTCAAAACTCTTGTTATGAAGATTAAATGGAAACGTATATGATAAGCTCCAGCAGCTTCTTCAGCTGAGGAAAGAGGTCTTATTTAACCTCAGAAAAATGCGTCTTTTGTCTCTTGAAATTTACTTTAAAGTAAAGTTATGGCTGAGCTTTTTCCAGTTCTTAAGGAATTTATAGTAGTTTTAAAATCTTCAAGTTCTTAAGGGGTGTTGGAATCCAAAAAGCTTAAAAAAAATTTGATTTCGGATTTTTGCATTTTTAAATTCTCTATTTTTTTATCTTTCTAAAAACACCATTCTTTAATCTCTATGAAAACTAGAACTGTAAAAAATCTAGTTTTAATTTATCATCGAATGCTTTGATAAACGGGGATTTTTATATAAAAACGCGTTTTTCTCCATACGTGATTTTTGTTTTATACTCGATGTACTTTTTCTCTAGAACTACTGCTCACAGGTATGTAAAATTTTTATGGCTTATTTATTAGATATCCTAATATTTACTGAAATGAGCTTTTTGTGATAAACTAAGGAAAAAAAAATTTTTTAATTCTTTGTGTGAGAAAAAAGCTAAATTTTACTATGCCTAACAAAATATTCTGTAAATTACTCTAAAATTCAAAATGTTTCAAAAGCTCATTTCAGTAAAATCAGATAGGTATACATTGATTACGCAAAAAAAATTTAAGCGTGTATCTACAATAGATGCTGAGAAAAGGTATATCGAAATTGGGCAATTTAACGTTGTCGGTATAGGGGTTGCTGATACCCCTTAAATAAAAATATTTTTAACTTAGATCATTTAGGAGGATTTAAGAATTATTTTCAGTTATTTTTAAATCATGTTAGCGAAATTAAATAATGTTAATGCTTTCAACGTTGTGGAAAGTTTCCTTTTATACTATTTTTTAATCGTGTAATGGATATACATCTATAAGAGTTTTTTCCGTTAACTTTATAAATAATATTCTTGGCCATACTCTTTTGCTATTAAATTACAGATTAAAATATTGAATCTTGTAAAGACATTACTATATCAGAAAAATGTTTCTATGCAAAAAATATCCCACTTAGTATCAAAATAACTATTATAAAATGCAATATTATAATCCTCGGATTTCTTACATCTTTTGACCACTGACCAATAAAAAACATATATTAAAAATAACCAAGCATTAGCAATCAGGGCGTCAGTAAGAAATTGTAACACATAATACAGTGGAAACATTCAATTATCCATCAGCAAGTTTCTATTATCCGTCAGTCTCTAAGATCCTCTGATGGGCAAAAAGAATCTACTTTAAAAATATATAAATAAGTAAATAAATAGCAAACTGGAGAAAAAGTAATTTATAATAAGTCATATTCTGCAATAAAATATAACTATTGGGTTGTCTTTTTAAAATAAGAGGCTAAGGTACTGTATTTTATGAATACACAATTGTATTTTCAAATGATACCGAAAACATTTTCTATTAAAAATTACCATGAAAGTTTAATAACATCGAAATGCATGTAATTCAAATAAGAATTTAATCTATATCCTTACTTTTGTTTGGCTTGTTTGGTTATCGCAAAGCACGCGCAGACTATCTGCCTAAAGGAAGGCATGCTTTCATGGAAGATTTTCTAAGGAGAGCTTGCTCGTATCCACTGATGGAGGAAAACCGCGACATCGCCCATCCATATAGCTGGTTCGCCGGGATTTGAACCCCTGTCAAACTACCAATATTCAGAAACTTCATCGCTCTGCCGCTAATAATCTACATACTATTGTTTTAATTATACAATACTTGAAATAACAAAGAATTTTCTTTTTATATATGACTGCGTACTTCACATTTAATACACACTGCCATATTGATGGGCCCGGGTCCGAATTCAGGTGAAGGCATGAATGTCTGAAAGCGTATATTGTGTATGCGGAATAGAGACAGTCAAAATACGATGCTAGCCGAAAGTCTTCTCGTGAGGTTGATGGTAGAGGAAGAGATGTGGGAGACCTTTGGACAGCCCCCCATCGGGGGGTTTCTCTTTCAAAATTGGGGCTGAACTATACAATTAGTGCGGTGGGATTATTCTTGTGCGACAAATGGTGAACTTTTTGTATCCCACCCACTTATACCTCTATACATACGCCATTTCTGTTTGTTGCAAAAGGTAAAATAAACGGTATCGCATCTTATCTTACATTCAATTGAAAATTAAAGAAATTTATGAAATTAAAAGGAACATGGATATTTTTTGTGCTATGACTAGATACAGTTTTGAATTTATTTTGAATACTACATTTTGGCTGTTCTTTAAACTGTAAGCAAACTGAGAAGACAGTGTGACTAGTTTTGAATACTTATCTTCAGATTTTTTTTAATCTGCACTACGCAATATACTATTCTAAAAATAAATCTTCACGATTGACTACCTGTATCAGGTGGTGGTAGAAGGAGTTTCTAATATACAAATATTTTCTCATCCGTCACAATAAAGACCTTAGACTGACAGACAGATAAGCGACGTTCTGCTTCTTTCCTTATGGCGTTTCGATGCATAAGCTAATCGTTGATATAAAAACATTCTTGGAAAGCTGTATCATTATTTAGATACAGAAAACTATTTTGAAAATGTTGCAGATAATTTTAAAAGAATGAAAGCTTTGAATGCTAATGAAATTTACATAACTCCTGTTTTACTTAACAGCGTTATATTTCACAGCAAGAAATAACTTGTTATTAATAATCTTAATAGTAAACCTTTTATGTGGTAAAGAGCTAAACTAGTACTTATCCTACTGAAGAGAAATTTACTTACATTGGATAATCTTCCTTATAACTACAGTAATAACGACCATACTGAGCACAACCTGGAGGTTTCTTAGATCCAGCTGGTTCTTTCATTTCATCATCAACTCCATGTTGATAGTTGCCTGTTTCTTGCCGCTTGGTGCTAGCTTGCGGCCACATGCCAGTTTCCCGTCTTTTATTATTAGACTGCTTCACTGTTGGAGGTAGAGCTGTGACTTGGGATACCCAATTTGCCATCCTGGCAAGTTTTTCTTCGTTTAAGGCTTCTTCTGGAGGTTTGTCTAGAAAAATCCAAGTAGTTCGTAGTTTGGATTCTTCCATTAAATTTGTGAAATTTGACATCGATTGTTGTTGGATAGTGCCAGTTGTATCATCTTTTTGGACGATGTCAGAGGCAACTGTGAAGATGACGTTGATGTATGCGATAAGTGATACCAGACAACCGGACAAATTGAGCATAGCCTCTGAAATAAACAGCAGTCATGAAATAAGACCTCTTATACTCTCAGAAAAAAAAACTTCGGTAAAGAATAGTTTTTATAACACTTTAGTGATATAATATTTAATTGAATAGTGCTTTTCTGAAGATTTCTTCAACCACATGCATCAAGATACCAGCCTTATGGCTCCGAATATTTACCAAACAAAAGCAACTGTAAACTAATAGCAGCTCATAAAATGAGTAAAGAAAATCTGGAAATAGAATAGAATGAACATCTGCTGAAAAATCAACCTCAGTACCTACACTGTATCAAATCCTGTGGACAGGTGACAGGTGACAGCAGGGCCGGACACCCGGACGGCTTACAATGACTACTCGGGTGCTGTCCGGACCCTGCAACTATCTGTAGCTGAAACTTTAAGTAGACATAAATATAGTAGTTTACAAATAGACCTGATCGTGTAATCGCACAATGCGTCAATGTACATAATGCAACACACTAAGATACTGTAAACTCAAAGATAGACACAATACACCAATACACATAATTGTGACACACTAATACGCTATACACCAGTATTCTATACACTAATATACTATACACCAGTATACTATACAATAATTCACTAATATACTATACACTAAAAGATAGACACAATACACCAGTGCGCACAAATGCGACACACTAGTATACATTGACACTAATACATAAGTACCATGTACACAAAAATACACATAGGTAAGATAATACAATTATTCTATTACACTACTGTAACATACACGTGGATACAATACACTGAGATAAGTAGAAACTTACGCTAAGTTACAATATATAAAAAAGTTAAGTATTGATACACATAGATAGTGCGTAAATTCTATATATTTTAAAATACACTTTTGTGTAAATATTAATAATACACAGTACTACTACAGGTGTTACTCTGTATGTTAAATCCTGCGGATAGGAGGAAAAGCAGGTCGTCAATTACGGTAATCTCAGTTCACCACTGAAAATATCAATATATGATAGCGTGTGATGTTAGAACTGGGCTTTACTATACAGTGAGAAACAACGTGGTCTACCATCTAGTAAAAATGAGTATATCAGATGTCATAATTAATATGCCTTCAAAATTTTTATAGTGTTCATTATCTCCGGATAAGAGCTGCTTGTACAAAATGTGATAACGAAAATGCAAACATGATAATAAAAGCTTAACAAGAAAAGCAGCAGAAAAAGAAGGAGAATGAAACATAATTTATGATACTTAAAATAAAAATCAAAGCTATAATACTTGAAAAAATAAAAATTAAATCAATTATTTCTCATTGCCAAAAACGTCGTAATAATAACTAAAACCTCAAGAAACTAAGCTCAAGAAACTTTTACTAAAACCTCAAGAACTGATAACAGTTGGGTAAGTATGAAACTCGTTTAATGTAAGACTAATTAATTCAATGTAATCAAGTGTCCCATCGCCATATCTATCAGCAGAGCATTATATTTTCCATTAGTTACGTGAAAGTTGATTTTTCTTTTTTGGCATTATTAAATTTAAAAACACCAATTTAATAAAAAAATTATAAAATGTAACATTTTATGTATTCTCCTGGTCCCTAAACTTAGGAAATTTTTATAACACTCATATACAACATAAAAAAGTTTTGACTCCCGTTCGACAAAAATGTATTGCTATATTTAATTTAAAAGTTTGGGATATTTGATATCATTTTCAGTTTGCCTTGAGGAGTTAATAAATAAATTATAATTATTCTATGTTTATTTTTTTCCCGTTAAGTGCTATTTAGTGACATTCTATAGGGACATACTAATACAAAACATTCTTTAATTTATAATATTGGTACATACGAAAGAATTTTCACACAAGTAATTTATACCTTTTCAAACGCTAAAATTACGTTATCAATATTCTCATAAAGTTTCGTTAATCATAAAGTTACATGATTTTATTACGTCATTAAGTTATAGCAATCTTTCATATTGTTTATTTGGAAATAATATTTGAGAATATCCTCACTTAAGGAAAAAATCTTTCTTGACAATACACTCACCTCCTGAAAGACTGGCTGGTAGATGCTCTTCTGTAAGTTGAACTAGCAATTTACAAGGTCAGAAAGAACTTCCTCAACATGAACGAATGCTCACTAGCCTATAGATCTGTTGTATAAACTAACATCGTGTTCGCTTCGTTGATGAAGCTCTGCTGCGTAAGAAATTTTAGAATTTGGTGGTCAGTTCGTGACTGAATTTCCCTTCTTAATTCAGCATCAATGAGCTTGTTATTTATTTTATATGACGCTCGATTAATTATGTTGGCCATCTTCTGTTTTTGGTAAAGGTGAGATTTATTTTGGTAACTTTTCATGTTTGTGAGAAGGCAAAATGGAGAAAGAATCTTCATTATTTGTTTGCATATTTGTTTTTGTAACTGTAACCGGTAAAGCGGAAAGAGAATTATTCTTCATTAAAGGCACTGATAAAAGGCCTTGATTTCGTACTTCATCCGTTTGTGTGTAATAATGCTATTACTATCTAAATGATAGTTTACAGGAAACGCAAATAACAGGAAAAATTAGTCCGCAGAACTGCATGTACCTGAACATTTAAGATGAAACATTCTTTTACTTCTACATTCATGCTATTATATATATTTCGAAATTTTAAAACTTCTTTTTTAGTACTCCATTAAATATTATTTTTAATCCTATTTTAAGAAGTGTTTTGTTTGGCTTTAATCACAGTTCCATTTCAAATAATGTAACCTGTTGAGTGAGCAAGACAGTTTGATAGGAAATCTTTATTTTCAACGGGAAATATAATTGAAGTTTTATTTCAGTCCGGCTGTTAAATATAAACTGAATATTTTAACAAATAATTTTGGTAATTATAAACCGTCTTCAGTGAGGCAGATTTGACTGCCTTTGTGCACAACATCAGATTTGCAACAACGTTTTCCGATCAGAACTGCTTTGTTTCATTATCCTGAATTTTCCTTATAGGAGGGAATTATCATATCCTAACATCCCATTTAGTTTCATTTTTATTAACAACATTTATTAACAAAAATATTTTATGTATCTTGTTAACTTCTTAAACACAGCTGAAGTTCATTTTTATCTCTGATCTCAAGATATTATAAATACCTCAAGGTATTTTCTATTTCTGTAGAAATTTTATGGAATAATATTTTATACATACAATATTGTTTTATGTGATATAAACCTTCCTATAAAACGAAAGAAAGAGATAGCTTCTTGTTTCTATAAAGAATTTATCGTTATCTACAGAATTACCGTAATATATATATTCATTTTTATAATCCATTATTTAGAGGGTAATGATATGTGATACAAAAAATCATTACCCTGTTCATTTATCAATAATTTAGAACTGAATTCTAAATAAAATATTTGCTGGACTAAAGAGCAATTTTCTTTAATCTTTAAGAAATAAAGAATGTAGCTATTGTACATAGTATGAATTTAAGTACTTATTATAAATTTCATATTGATTAATCGTAATTGTATGTCGATTCAAGTTTAGTTTAATGCACTTTAAACTGTAAATACAATAAAACGTCGCTTGGAGACCCCTCCACATTGACCAGCGCTTCTAAAGATGAACCAGTATTTTTGTAGACATAAATAAAATTAATATAGTGCATCAAGGATAATAATTTTTTCTAATGAATCATCTACAGAAATCACGTGAAGTTATTTCCCGACGCTGAGGTCGTAGTTTTCCCTACTTGTAGTCTTTTATATCATAAAATCTTCCTGAATAAGTTACTGCTTTCATTTAACAATTTTGAGATCTTTATAGGATTCTAGGCATTGTGAAATTCTAAAAGCTGGTATATTGAGAATTCCTGAAGCAGTGAACTGAGTGAACAGAATTTAACACGTGAAGTAAATCTCCAATACTTGTTTATCACCTTCACAGTCATGTTATGCAATTTTATTTAAAGCTGCATTTTAACTTCCTATCCTCTCTTATGTACTGTACTCGAGACAATAGTATTAGCCCTACTCTCCCTAGCACTGTACTACATTGTGTTTGACTGTATTTTCCACAATGTTTTTACACCTTTAAATATATAAAAAAATTTGAATTTCATTATTTAAAATGAAGTAAAATCTGAAGTTCAATAAGCGTATCTAAAAAGTTATCATTTTTTATTTAAATGAAAAAACTAAGGGTTATTATAAATAATAGTATACGTAATGCTATTACATAATGCAAATTTTAATACGAAATTAATGTAATTGAAATATTCTAATTTTCCACAATACTATCGTAGAGCTATCGTACAGTTTGAAGAAATTTGCAGCTAAATTTTGTATAGACAGTCAGACTAAGCCCTAGGTTAAGTTAGATTGTTTGAATAAGGTAAAGCACACGAGGGCTTTCTGCCAAGGGAAGGGATGCTCGTTACACTTCGGAAAAACCACGAAAACCAGCCGTGCAGCCATTCCGTTCGCCAAGGATCGAATTCGGGTCGAACTCGGCTCACTTATAGAGCTAATTTTGTGCCTTTAGATACGGTTCTCTTTCAGGGAACTCCATCTCACTTTTCTTGTCATAAAACAAGAACTTAAGATTTGGTGGAGATGAGTTTCGGGCTCCTGAAACTTGGAACCTTTGTAGTCCTTTATGTTAATCAGATCCTGCATATGGCTAAATAAAACATATATCAGTGAAGGAATTACTACTATAGTTTCATTTTTTGTTTTTATTTCTTCCTGATGTGAAAAAAAGTATTTTTAGTTATTTCCTTTAGTGATAGCCATTTTAAAAGTATTAGTTTTGCTGTTGAACATGCTTATATGAAATAAGTCCAAAATATTAATTTTCAGTATTTATGTACGAAACTTCTAGCGTTTATTGCCGATCAATCACCTTTTAACTTTCACGATCTAGTTCAAAGAGGAAACCCGAAACTTCTGAATTTATTTGGACTTCATGAACTTCATATGTTTCTGAGAAACGGTCATATTATTCCACTCGCAAGAGAGATCAACCGTGACAGGTGGACTTCTCAATTCATCACGCAGTCGTCAAGTATAATATGCATCAGTTAATTTATTATTGTTGGCATGTTAATAATTTCTAGACAATATAAAAAACATTAATATTTATTTGATATCCGTCAGAAAAAAATATTGATTCTTACCTGAGCTTCTTTGTTTTGTTTCCTTCCGAAAGCCTTAAAATAATTCATAACCATCTACCATGAAATTACTTATTTTGAGGAAAAAACTACAGCGAGTAAAACATAACATCTAAAAATTTCAACAAAGAATTCCATTAATTGATAAGCTCAGTTATGGTATCCAAAATTATCGAAGACAGAAATTTACTATAAGCCATTAAAACGAACCCTGTCGTGACGACCATCTTTGAAAGAGAGGCAGTATTTCTGAGAACGTAAGCAAATATGCTATTAAATATGCGAGGGATGTTTTTTAAGTGAGGGAATAAGTGAGGGGTAAGAAAATAAAAGCCAAAAGAAAGAAAATTTCCAAAAACTAGATTTAATTTCGGTTTCTACATACGTTTCTCTATTTCTCAACGTAGTTTGTTATCATACCTTAGAAATAGATTTTGAATACCTTTTTCATAAAAACTTGTCGCCTGCTCCGATAACCAAGAAGTTAAGGCTGTTTTCACTTCCTAGACTAGACACACGAGGAAATTCGCTTGAGAGAGTGCTTATGGTAAAGCGTCTGTCTGTTCTTAAGAATTTTCGTTTCAGCTGAAGCCACCATATCGTCTGTGATCACAGATGGGCGTCCAGAGCATCTGTGATCCCTGACCCACTTAACTTTGCCTTCTCTCTTGGCGGTAGCTCCGTAAACTTCACAAATCTGCCAGTGAATGTCTGCAGTAGACAGGTTTCTTGGCGACAGAGAACGTATCACTGACCGTACCTAGTACCGGGCGGGCGAATCGCTAATTTTGAACATTTTAAATACACAAAACGGACCTTACCAGGTTACCTACACAGCTGCAACTGAGTACAGTTATTTCCAAGGGATGCCGGGATACGACGCAAGCACTCGTTGCCACCTACGCGACACGCATTAGTGTATACAGCAAAACGTCCCTTACTATAAAAACACGCTACGTAATTTCCGTAAAACGATTATCTTCACAGATGACCAAAATCATGTGGTATTGTGGATGGCTGTCTTAGGAAACATTCACTGTATTTTCTATAAAAAAATAACTATTTTATTAAAACGAACCCTGTTGTGGCGACCATCTTTGAGAGTGGCCAGTTCTTCTCAGAACTTAAACAAACATACGATCAAATATAGCTTCTGTAAAACGATTGTCTTCATAGGCGACCAAAATCGCATGGTACTGTGGATCTGTCTTAGTAAGCGTTCACTGTATTTTCTATAAAAAGTAATTATTTTTATTAAAACGAACCCTGTTGTGGCGACTATCTTTGAAGGTAGCCAGTATTTCTGAGAATGTAAACAAACTTACTATTAAATATAACTTTTGTAAAATTATTATCTTCACAGACTACCAAAATCATATGGTACTGTGAATGGCAGTCTTAGCAACGTTCGCTGTATTTTCCATAAAAAAATTCTCTTTATTGAAAAAAAACGAAGTTTTTTTTATTCCTTTTGATTTGTTATTTAGCAAGTTTCAAGCAATTTGGTTATTTAGCAGGCAAGTTCTTCTAATACTCAAAACTCTTAATTCTAAGGTCGCTAATTTTCGGCGCGGCTAATTTTATGGAATAATCTTTTTCCGGCTTAGCTTTGATTACAGTGGCATAAAATGAAAAAAATCTGATGTGTACACCACATGACTTAATTGTACGGAATATTAAATTATACGCATTTTTTCTTGCATTTCATTTAAACTTATTGGATTGAATTAAATCTACTTCGCCGACAGCGCATAAACCACAAAGAATAAGTGCATTCTTTAAAATTCACTCTAGTATTTGTTTACCATAGCGACACTCTGGCGCTAGATTCACTTAACAGTACTATATTTCGTTCATATATGTCTCATAATGCACAAAATTTGTATCATTTAAAGAATTATCTAATCGTTTCCACATGTTCTATTCAAGTAATACAATAAAGCTAGAACGATGTATAAAAGAAATTAAGCAAACAAAACAAAAAAGAAACAGTTTTTCACAGACGATTGAGTATTTCTCATTCAATTAATTCAGTTCTCACTTCGCGACAAGGCAAAAATACATAAAAACTCAAAATATCTCTACTAAAAATTACTAATTATTAAAAATTAAATTACTAATTATTAAAAATTAAATTAGTAATTATTAAAAATTAAGTAAATCTTAAACACTTATTTCCTCGAAAAAATTCCAGAAAGGATTAAGCATGATTTAAATCGCAATAATAAATGAAGGCGTTTATCTTTGTTGTTGCGAAGCTACGTTTCTCTAGATTGGCAACAAATTCACTACTCAGCTGTTTCAAACGTAAACAAGCAATGACCGCCATCAAAATAGGCTTAGCGGCACTTAAACAACTTTTAAATTGTTGATAATTCTAAAAATATTGCATACAGATTTACTAAAGGCATAAAAGTCTTAACCGGAAGATATAAACAACATAATTCAATCATTTTTAAAGAAAAAAAAATGTACGATTTACAAACATATAAGAATAAAGTAACTGAGATCACTGAGCCGGGTGACAAAGTGGATATATTTATAAATATATTTATATACGTTTGGCGCGGCCGATTGAAACCAAAATACTAGGTGCACATCTACATGTTATAGTAGTCCTATATAAAAAATTTCAACGTTCTGAGGCTACTCGTTTTTGAGTTGTGCGAGATACGTACGTACGTTCGTACGCACATACGTCCGTACAGACGCCACGAAAAATTCTCTTCAGAATTCATTTTAAAGCAGTTTTTTAGTTTTTTTTTGGAGGAAAGGAGTCTTTTGTTCTGTTCTTACGTACACATATCACGCAAAAACATCGTTAAATTGCATTCGAAAGCGGTCAAAGTGGATATTTTCGTTGAAATATGCTGCCTGAAGCTTTTCGCGATTACAATACTTCCTTTTTACTTCGTTCAAGGAAGTAAAAAAGCAAGCATGATTTCCTCTTGTGTAGTGAAAGATAATCGTTGTTTTGTGTGTGTGTGTGTGTGTGAAAATTCTTCGGCAAAGGTATGCATTTATATATACAGTGAAAGAATTCGCGGGTACCACGTTTTCTAGAAAACCTTCTAAAGCAAATCGATACTTTTGAGAACACAAATAAACATCATCCATAATTGTGGTCTCTTCTGTACCTGTTTATCTGTAATAGGAAAATCATGGTTGGTCTTTTTATAAAGTTTTCACTTACATAGAATGTTCAAAAAAGGAGATTTAATAAATTCATGACACAAACATAGTATAAAATATATTTCAAAATTTATTAACTTTGTGTAAAGAGAAAATTAAGCTGTATCAACCAATATGAGTATGGAACAACTCCTTTAACTTTGCATTTCAAAATTATAAAGAACAATCTAAAAGACATATTAATAAAATATCAAAGCCTGTAGCTGTTTTTTAATACATTAAGCTTGCAGATGTTTAGAAACCTTCTGCTCCAACTAATGAAAATGCTGCCCATTGCTGTGGAGGTAACTTCTTCTCCCGGATGCAAAACAGCATAGCTGAACGCAAGGATCTGAAAACATTTCCTGTTGCCTGAAAATGAAAATTCATAAAAATTATTGAAGAAAGATTATAAAAGTACACTCTGCACACACACACACAAAGACACAAAGGGGATTCTGTATTTCCCATTCTATTGGGCTGATTGACGAAATTTAACTTACGTTTTTTATGTTTTGAAAGCTCGACTTAGGATATATATATTAAATTTGTATATAGCGTTTTTCTAGCATTGGTATTCTGAAACAAAATCGAACTTTTTCTGAAATGATATACCTATTTTTTTCCATTCTATTCAACAACATTTCTACTCAAATTATGCCAAAGTTATAGGATCTTACTTTCTTTAGCCACATAAACTAATCTAGATGCTACTAATAAACCTGGCGGTTTATTGCACAGGCGTGAAATAATACCAGCACAGAAGAAAGGTAAAAATAACTTTATTATTTTGAGCTAAGATCAGAAAGGCACGTACTTCGTGCTTTACAATAACATTGACGACTTGCGGTGGAACTTAAGCATTGTTATACAAATCAATTCAAGTCTCAAAAGAGTAGTGCTAGACTAGCACCTTAAGTTACGGCTAACTAGGTTGGCTCGACAATCTACCAGGAGTGATAATTATTCAAATGGCCAAAAAGGCGTATCAGGAGCTCCGCGTAACAGCAAAGTCAGAAACGAAAAGTGCCCTGGCTAGTGAAAGCACGCTCTGAATAAACTCCAAGATTCACTCTTTTAAATACTCACTTCATTTTAAATTAGTATCCTGACTAGGAAATGCGAAAGGAAGTTGAAGAGTTCAGGAAAGATAACAAAAATTTGAATAATTGATTATTTGAACTAAGGGTAACCTTACAAAGTGCCAAACTTTGTAAAAGTCGCAAGAGTAGCTTTTAAAAAATAAGCTCTCAAAATTTTTGCACCTCAGTGTTAATTGAATTTGGTATCTATTTATTAATATCTCTTTTAGACACTTGATTGCTTCTTCACAATCGAAATTTATGTTCAATCCACGTAAAATTCGCAGATATTTTCTGACTTATTTAATTTTTTTTTATAATAATGATTTGCAAAAACGTTTCGAAAAGCGTTTTATATCATACCCTATACAATTTTTGCCATCAGCTTAGATATACTTCTAAGCATACCAGCAAACCTAGAAATTTTTATTCAAATTTTCCGAAGATATGCGTAAATTTATACTAGGGTTGGAACTTTAATAGTGGCAACACAGCTGAAAAAAAGCTACGCAACAAAACCGGAGATCGGAGATCGGAGATCATCATTCGTTAAGTGGTGTTCGACCCGAAGGCCTTTACCACTACATGTTTATCAATCCCCTAAGGACCTGTAAAAGTTCATTAAATTCCATAAACTGGAAAAGTCCTGTGCACTTGTAATAAAAGTGCAAAGTCTTCAGTAGTGAAGAAGTTGATCAGGGGTGGCGACTTATATCGGCCATCGGCCACAGATGAAGTCTTTGCTGGATAAGCTATAATAGCAACTAAATTTTGGCATATCTTTTACACATTATCGTATATTTGACACAGTATCGTACATTAGTAAGATGAAAAGGATGATAAAGATGAAACAAAATCGAGATTAAATAGTTGAAAATAATAAAATATATACAAGAACTACCATCTAACATTATGATGTATAGTTCTGGGCCGTTTATGCGGCTGTTCGATTAGATAGTCGTACTCCCCTATGTTTTTAATAACTTCGTGAGTGGAGGAATCACATTTTTCGTAGAATTTGAATGTAATCTTTAGTAATTCAGCATCTAATGGTAAAATCTTTAAAGAATTATGGATGACAGTGTTCCTAACGAACCACGGAGAGTTCGAGAGGAATCTGAGAGTTTTACTCTGAAAACTTTGAAGCCTTGCTCGATTTGAACGTGCAATAGCTTCCCACGCCGGAGCGGCATATAGAATTATGGGTCGGATTGCCTGTAGATAAAGTGTTCTTTTAGCGTTGATATTTAACTTCGAATATTTGCACATCAGAGGCTATATGCTCATTAAGGCACATTATGCTTTGTCTCTGGTATAATTAACATGAAATTTGAAAGTTAACTTCTGGTCGAGATAAACACCTAGATATTTTACTTGGTGGTCACGTGACACGATTTGTCCGTCCATTGTAATTTCTTCTAAGTCTTGACGGATATTTCCCTTTTTAAAGTAAATCACTTTTGACTTTTCGGGGTTAAAATTCGGGGTTTTAATTTTCCATCCTTTAAACCAGGGTGAAATGCAATGTAATTAATGGCATTCTGTAGTTTATTTCTTGCATGATATGGATTAAGTGAGTGACATAAAAGTGCCGTGTCATCGGCATAGCATGCAGTGAGAATATTTTCAATATTAGGAAGATCATTAATATATAAATTATAGAGAAGCGGGGAATTACCGACCCCTGTGGTAAACCCGCGTGAATTTTTCTTGTGGTAGAATAATTATCTTGAATCTTAACTTGAAAAGTTCTGTTCTTTAAAAAATCAGCGATTAGATGATGATGATGGCAGGTGGGAAATTATAGTTCATCAGCTTGATAATAAGACCGTGATGCCAAACTTTATCGAAGGCTTTCTCTACATCCATAAAAATAGCAGCAACTACTTCCTTTTTATTAAAATTTTCACCTATGAATTCTACGATTCGGGCGATCTGCTGAGTCGTTGAGAATCACCTGGCGAAATCCAAATTGATGGTCTTTGATGATGTTATTTTCATTAATAAAAGTGGTGAGTCGAGACTCGATAAGCCTTTCGAAAAGTTTGGCAATCGCAGGCAGAAGACTGATCGGTCTAAAGTTACTTGTGAGATTTCCAGCTTTCCCAGGCTTTTTAATGACAGTTAGAATGGCGTGTTTCCAATTTTTGGGAATGTATTAAGTCTTAAACATGCGTTAAAAATATTTGTAATAAGAACGATGCCTTTCCTTGGGAGGTATTGCAGGGCCTTATTAGTGATATTGTCATATCCAGATGCTTTCTTTGGATTAAGTTTCTTTATAATTTTCTGTATTTCTTTGAGAGAAGTCGGGTTGTTTTGATTTTCAGGATCTTTGCAGAGGAAATCGGTCACGTGATTGATAATATTGATATCATTCGGTTGGGGGAATTATTTAATTAAACTGTTGTTCATATTATCAGCGAAGAGGTTGACAATTTTCTTATGATCGTAAATTTTGGTATTATTATCTTCAAGAATGGGTCCAATATTGCAACAAAACCAAAGAATATCGCGTATACCACACGTGAACTACATACCTACCTTACCACTCAGCAAAAAGACTCGTCCTACCAACGTCACGCGCATGCGGAGTGACGCGAAGAACGAATCCTTCTATTAGCTCGCGGTCTAAAGTAAGTGTTGTCAGGATGTTTTCAAAACAAGAACAACGATGTTGGATAAAAATTGAATGTGCCAGAGGTCGTACAGCACGACAGTGTCATCAAGGGCTTCAAGAGGCTTGCGGGGAATCTGCATTGCCTTACAGAACCATAGCAAGATGGGTGAAAGCATTCAATGAAGGACGCCAAAACGTGGCAGACATGCTGCGGCCAGGTCGTCCGAGTGTCAGCGATGCAGACGTGCAAGCTGTTGCCGCACTAATGGACAGTGATCGCCGCCAAACGATTCGTCAGCTGGCCGGACAAACAGGATTAGCGCATACGACTGTGCTGCACATTCTGAAGGAACGCCTGTCCATGAGAAAAATTGCTTCACGATGGGTTCCACATCAATTGACGGAAATGCAGAAATGGCTACGATACGATGCTGCCCGAACCCACCTGGAGCGCTATGAGCGCGAAGGAGATGCTTTTTTACGCCGTATCATTACGCTGGATGAGACTTGGGCCCGATCGTACCAGCCAGAACTGAAACGCCAATCAAACGAATGGCGTCATCACGGGTCACCACGACGTTCGAAATTTCGTCAGAACCCCAGCAATGTGAAAGTTATGGTGATTCTCGTGTACGACTGTGATGGTGTCATCCTAACGCATACCGTTCCCCCACAGCAGACCGTCACTGCGCAGTATTACTGCTCATTTTTGGAGCACAATCTCCGACCAGCTTTGAGAAAAAAAAAACGGCGACACTTTCTGCAGAACGCTCCTCTCATTTTGCATGACAATGCTCGGCCGCATGCAGCGCAAGCTGTGACTGATTTGTTCAAGCGATGGGGCTGGGAAGTGCTTTACCATCCACCATACTCCCCAGATCTAAGCCCTTGTGACTAAATTCCTAAGATGAAGGAACCACTTCGTGGCACTTCGCTTCCAAACTGTTCCTGAGATTCTTGCGGCAGTAGACCGGTCCATTGAAACTCTCAACAAAACAGGCGCTGCTACAGGTATTCTGCAACTTCCACATCGTTGGAAACGGGTTGTACACAATGCTGGCGACTATATTGAAGGACTGTAAAACATGGTGACATGAATCACTTTTGTATTCCTCGTAAATAAATAGTTGCCACTATTAAAGTTCCAACCTTCGTATATGACCGAATTTTGAAATGTGCATACTTATTGTAAACGATAATAATGATAAATGTGGCTTACGCACATTGTTAAAATTATTTGAAAGAATGAACGATTCATCTTTTTTCCCAGTTCCCGCACAGTGAAAGTGAAGGGAGAATATGCTACCATAAATTTAAAATGTTCGCCAAGGGACTTATTCTTCGCTAAACTGAGAAACGCGTGCCAAGATAAATTTAAAATTTCTCTACAATTTTCTCACCAGATTTTATAAAATTTAATATTTAGGCATAATTTAAGTCATAGAATCGAAATATGAAAAACAATCGGTATGTAATTTCAGAAAACGTCCGATTTTATGTCAGAATACCTATGTTGGAACAGTAATATATACCAATCTAATATATATATCCTAAGTCTCGGTTTAGCGACATGAAAAACGCATGTTAATTTGATCAATCGGTACAGTAGAAAGAAAAATACATAATTGTTTACATTTTTTTTTAAGCCCAAAGGGGCGTTAGACTCAAAG